CAGTTGCTCGTCTATGGCCGACCAGTTGCTCGTCTATGGCCGACCAGTTGCTCGTCTATGGCCGACCAGTTGCTCGTCTATGGCCGACCAGTTACTCGTCTATGGCCGACCAGTTGCTCGTCTAAATTCGAACAGCTACTCTGTAGACGACTGACTCGCTGGGCAGCAACTCGACTCTATAGAGCACTGACTCGTAGCTCGTCTGTAAACGACTCTCGGGCCAGCCTATCACCTGGCTACCCCACCTGCTATAGAACGGACTCCCTTGCCTATAAAGAAAACAGTCTGGTCAAATCACTAGCTCGTTTATAGAGAAAACCGCCGACCAACTCGAAAAGTAGCCAGCCAGCCAGCCCTCTGTTCATCCATGAAGACTCCTTGACTAGCACACTAGTTCGTTTAGTGGTACTCCTCGGCCCACCAAATCTATGGAGACTCCCATCCGACCCGAAAAGATAATCTTTAACTTTGTTGCTTCCTGCTCATCAATAGAGAATGACCTGACCATACACTTCTTTAATACAGAAAAGAGAATATATGGATATGTCCCCTCTGTCCATATATATATGGCCCCGAGGAGGTGGTTTTCCATATATATATATATATATATATATATATATATAAATGTAAAATTTTCTTTAAATTTTCCTCAATGAAATAAAGCTTTTTTTTTTTGTTATTAGTAAAATCAACAATTTTAAGAGCTCGCCAATGAATTTGTTTATATTCAATAATATTTTAGCTTTTTTGTGATCATTAATAACAACAACAAAAGAGCACTCTAATTTTTACTAGATGTATGAGGATGCAAGCGTTCGAAGCATTTTTATTATTAGTGAAAACAGATGAATATTTAAAACTGACAGACTCTTTAGGAAATTTGGATATTCCAAATCCCTCCCTCCACGCCATTGCTTTTGTGAAGGAATTGAATAATCGAAGAATCTCCCTCCTCATAAACAGGCAACAATAAGATTTTGTTATTAACTTTGAAATTTATTGAAAGTTCATTAAATATCAGCCGCCTCCCTCCCCAATTATCGTTCGGCATTAGCCTTAACATCTTCATCTACATCAGTATTGGCATTATTATCGCAGTATTACCGCATTCACAGTCTTTGCTATTTCTCGTCTTCTTTGTTTCCGACTTAATTTCTTGTAATTTTAATTAAAATTTTATGCCATTAAATAAACATTCATTCATGAACATTGGGGTGTAACGATAAACTATAACAGGTTAAAAATTCGATAAAATTCTCACGGCCATGGGACCATCCGAATAGCCTTAAGATATATATTGCAAATGGTAGAAAAATATCCTCGGCCTTAATTTATTTGTGTATACACCCTAATATACCTCTGTTTATTTGAACATTTGACCCCACACACACACACACACTATTTACATTAAGTACGCTTTGTATTGTTGGTTTATTGGGCAGGGGGTGGGGCGGCACATTGTTATTGTAATTGTTGCTGGATGCCTCGTTTGCCATTAATTTCATCGTTGTTGATGTTAGTGTTGTTTTTGGTTGAATTCAATAAACATTTATTTACATTACCACAAATTGAAAATAGCTTCGGGAAGTGCCAACCAACCAATCACACACCCACCCATCCACCCCTCCTTCAACAAATAAATGATGTGGCGACTTTCACGTGTGAAAAGAACTAATTGACAGTGCACTATTTCGGTCAACAAAATACATTAACTCAAAGAATTCCCCCCCCCCCCCCCCTTTCCACTCTTACGCCCTTCAATGAGGGGCTAATGAGTGGAGCTACAGTAGCTATTCTAGCGAACAAAAAGGAAAATGAATGTCATTGACTTCCAGCCGTTAAGTCCATCGCAATACCGGCCAAATATTAATGTTCGACATGAATTTTGAAGGCTTTGCATTGTGTATCTAATCGATACATTTGTAATGTGAATAACTTCAATTTGTCAAAAATTTCGAGGAAATATCGGAAATGTTGAGTATTTACATTAATTAATTAAGGGGAAGTCATTAAAACCTCAAACAAGGATTTTTACCCACTTAGCTGAGAAAGAAGTTGTAGGGAGCTCCTTGGGAGAAAAAACCTTTAATATTGTAGAATTCCAAGAAAGTCTTTATATATTAGTTAAAGGCCTCTATAGCTATATACACAAGCCGAATACAAGCAATAAATTCTCCCAAGATAAGCTGAAAATCCAGCAAGTTTCCACAGAGCAGCTGCAGGAGATTAAGTGTATTTTAGAAAGCAAGTCTAGCCGACGAGCTAGCGAAGCTAACAAAGCGCCATGAACAAGGCCAATAAGCCTTCGTAGGCTGACGGTCTGGGAATCCCTATAGACGCAGTTGGCTGCCTCATTTCGACTATAGACGATCAGTTCGTCAATGGACGACGTACTCTCCAGCCGACTCACCGTGTCATCTGTAGTCGATTGACCCGCTACTCAACTGACAAGTTGGTCGACTAAAGACGAGCTGGCGAATATAGACGACTTGATTTAGTATAGACGAGCTGGTCGACTATAGACGAGTTGTTCGACGAGCTCATCGACTAAAGACGAGCTGGTTGTCTAAAAACGTGCTGGTCGACTATAGACGAATTGGTAGTCTATGGACGTCGACTGACTGTTTGTCAGCGATTAGCCGATTGCAAACTCGCTGATCCACTATAGACGAGCTGGTCGACTATAGACAAGCTGTTCGAATATAAACGAGATGGTCAAAAATAAACAATTTGGTTGGCTAGCCAACGACTTAGCTGTCTATGGACGACTTGGTCTAGCGGCTAGCTACCCAGCTAGTTAGTCGCCAAAAGACTACCTGGTCCTCAAAAATATGTCTTACAAATACACGTTTGGGAGATGGGCTAACATCCACGTCTTTCGGTCCTTGAACAAATATTTTTAAAAAAATCCTCGGCAGTTAATCTTAGAAGAAATATTTTTTTAAAAAATCCACGTCCGTTGGTCACTGAAAAAAAATTAGAAAATTCACGTTTTAAAGTTGGTCCTTAATAAAATATTTTTGCAAATGTACGTTTAAGATTTGGTTCTTGAAAAAATATTTAAAAAAAACCCAAAGTTGGATGTAGTCCCTTGAAATTTTTCTTTAAAGAATCCACGTTTGGGAGGTGGTACTTGAGAAAATCCTTTCTTAAAAAATCTGCAACTTTTGGTCCTTGAAGTCATCGTTTGGGAGTTGGTCCTTGAAACCAACGTTTGGGAGTTGGTCCTTGAGAAAATCCTTTTTTAACAAATCTGCAACTTTTGGTCCTTGAAATCAACGTTTGGGAGTTGGTCCTTGAGAAAATCCTTTTTTAAAAAATCTGCAACTTTTGGTCCTTGAAATCCACGTTTGGAAAAAAAATATTTTTAAAAAATCCACGTCTGTAGGTCCTTGAAAAGATATTTTTTAAAAAATCTGCAACTTTTGGTCCTTGAAATCCACGTTTGGAAAAAAAATATTTTTAAAAAATCCACGTCTGTAGGTCCTTGAAAAGATATTTTTTAAAAAATCTGCAACTTTTGGTCCTTGAAATCCACGTTTGGAAAAAAAATATTTTTAAAAAATCCACGTCTGTAGGTCCTTGAAAAGATATTTTTTAAAAAATCTGCAACTTTTGGTCCTTGAAATCCACGTTTGGAAAAAAAATATTTTTAAAAAATCCATGTCTGTAGGTCCTTGAAAAGATATTTTTTAAAAAATCCTCGACAGTTGGTCTTTGAAAAAATATTTTTTAAAAAATCCACGTCTGTTGGTCCTTGAAAAAAATGTTTTCAAAAAATCCTTGACAGTTGGTCCTTGAAAAAATATTTTTTTAAAAATCCACGTCTATTGGTCCTTGAAAAAATATTTTTTTAAAAATCCACGTCTATTGGTCCTTGAAAAAATATTTTTTTAAAAATCCACGTCTATTGGTCCTTGAAAAAATATTTTTTTAAAAATCCACGTCTATTGGTCCTTGAAAAAATATTTTTTAAAAATCCATGTCTTTTGGTCCTTGAAAAAATATTTTTTAAAAATCCACGTCTGTTGATCCTTGAAAAAAAGATATTTTAAAAAATCCTCAACAGTTGGCTCTGGAAAAAATATTTTTAGAAAAATCCTCGTCTGTTGGTTCTTAAAAAAAATATTTTTAGAAAAATCCTCGTTTTTTTTAAATTCACGTCTGTTGGTCCTTAAAAAAATATTTTTTAAAAAATCCACGTCTGTTGGTCCTTGAAAAAAATATTTTTTAAAAAATCCACGTCTGTTGGTCCTTGAAAAAAATATTTTTTAAAAATCCACGTCTGTTGGTCCTTGAAAAAATATTTTTTTAAAAGATCCACGTCAGTTGGTCCTTGAAAAATATTTTTTTAAAAACCCATGTTTGGGAGTTGGTCCTCGAAAACGTATTTTTAAAAATCAACGTTTGGGAGTTATTCCTTGAAAAGGTATTTTTAAAAAAATATTTTTAAAAACTACACGTTTTGGAGTTGGTCATTGAAATATTTTTCTTTAAATATCCGTGATTAGGAGCTGGTCCTTGAAAAAATATTAAAAAAAATCCACGTTTGGGAGTTGGTTTTTGAAAATTGATTTTTAAAAAAATCCGCAACTGTTGGTCCTTGGAAAAAAATTTTGTTGAAATACCCATCTGTTGGTCCTTGAAGAAAAATTTAAAAATTCAAGGCCCTTGTATCCTACAGCCCTGTTTTTTTTTCATAATTCATATTATTCGCCATATGGTTAACACAAATCCATTTGCGCACCTAGAAAGATTTAGACATTTTCACCACGTAATCACGTCTCATAAATGATATAACACTACTTGAGGACATAAGACCCCGTCTAAGTTCCAAATCTCCACCTGCACCTGTGCAAATGCAATAGCATCAAATCTCCTCCACAAAGCACTGCTGCTACTCGGTATGGCGGCTTAATTACGGCAAATATTTGACTAACCGATATTCGATATTTACATTGAATTTGATTTTTTTTGCAGTTATATCCCGCTACGCTTACCTTTGGAGTGGAGGAATTAAACATCTGGTGGTTGGTGGGTAGCGATTTGAACAAAATTTAATTTTAGCAACATCTCTCGGCACCCACACACACATCGACACACAAAAACACACTTTAACACATTTATTGCAAAGCAATTTCCATAAATTGTTGATAAGATAAACAAAATTCAAATATTTGCCGAAAAGATTTAGCAGCGCCGGAATAACATCGAAGGCGAGCAATTTAACACTTTTCTAGCTTCGCGCAATGCTTTCAACGTTTCACAAGAATTCTTTGTTGTTTTTCTTTTCGATTTTTTTGTTTCTTTTTTATTTTGTTTAGATGAAAATGAATATTATTCTAATCAGGAAATTTTCAATATTCCCAAACACAAATTTTTATTATTTTGAAGTAAAATTCAAAATAATTTCACATCACATCTTTACAGTGGTGGTGAAAACTTTGTTTAGATTTTTCATTCATTTTACTTTCATCTCCTCTTCTTTTTTCCGAATATTTTAATTAGGGCATTTGTTTCCTGTTTGGATTTGTATTTTCTTATCTCGTTTTGTTTCCTCTTCACTTGTTTTTGTGTTTCTTTTTCTTTGGTTTTTTTATCACCTCTAGTATATCTAAACAAATTTTTTCTTGCCGCTTAATTTTTTATTCGCATTAAACATTCGGAACCACAGAACCGTTCGAAATGCCGTGAAATGCTCAACTGGAGTTTTCTACCAGACCAGCCAACATTCGGGGGCATCTGGCGTTTGGTTGTGCGAAATTGCGCCTGCGTTTTGGGGGGAGAACCAAGAAAAAGCTCTCTCTAGCCTATCGTCTGCCTGGACAGCGAACTAGATTCCATTGTGGTTGCCTGTGTTCCATTTCCTATTTATACCGGATTTATCTTAACCTGTTATATGGTTGGTTGGTTGGCTTGTTTATTTGTTTTCTTGGCCATTCACACACACACCAACACATATCCATAGATTTTTTAGTCTGTTGGCTCCTTTCGTTTTGGCTTTAAGGGTAGAACAACTTTAAATTTAGTTTAAAGGATAGAAACCCCTTTGCGGGGTGTTAGATGAATCCATAGCACGCAGGGGGAGTCAACGGGTCTTAAATCTTTAAGGATCAAGGGACAACTTAATGGGGATTTTTATTTTTTTAAGGACGAAATCTGTTTTCTTATGTATATTTGTTATGGACAAAACGAGGATTTTTGAATATTTATTTTAAGGACTTAAGTATTCCCAAAGGATCATATGTTAATATTTATCTACTTTTACGGAATATTTTTTCAAGGATTTTTAGAGTATTTTTTAAGGACTAAACCTGGACTCCCGAATGTGGATTTTTTAAAATTTTTTTAAGGACTACAAAGCGAGGATTTTTTAAAATTTTTTTAAGGACCACCCAAACTTGGATTTTTTAAAAATATTTTTTCAAGCTCTACCAAACGTGGATTTAAAAAATATATATTTTTAAAGACTCTCAATTGTGGATTTTAAACAAAATGTTTAAAGCAATCCTTAATATGGAATAAAAAAAAAACTATTTTAAGGTCCTGAACCTAGATTTTTTAAAAATATTTTTTAAGGACCACCAAATATGATTTTTTTTATATTTTTTAAGGACTTTTAATGTTGGATTTTTTAAAAATATGTTTTAAACGACTACCAAACTTGGATTTTTTTAAAAAATATTTTTAAAGGACTTTCAAAATTGGATTTGTGGAAATTATTTTTTAGGACTTTCAAGTTTGGATTTTTTTAAAATATTTTTTAAGGACTTCCAAACATGGATTTTTAAATTAAGAACTTTACAATGCCAATTTTTTAAACACATTTTTTTACATCCTAAATGTAGATTTTTAAACACATTTTTTATTGACTTCCAAATGTAAATTGTTTAAAAATATTTTTAAGGACTCTAACGTGGATTACGGACTCCCAAATGTGGATTATTTACAAATATTTTTAAGGACTTCCAAAATTGGATTTAAAAAACAATATTTATTAAGGACTTTCAAATGTGGATTAATGAAAAATACTTTTATAAGGACTCCCAAAATTGTATATTTTGATAATATTTTTTAAGGACTCTCAAAAACATTGATTTTTTTTTTAATATTTATTAAGGACTCTCAAAAGTGGATTATTCTAAAAAAATACTTGTTTAAGGACACGTAAAAAAAAAGTTTTTTTAAGAACTCCCAAACATTGATTTTTTAAATAATTTTTAAGAACTCTCAAAAGTGGATTTTTTTTTAATTTTTTGAAGGACTCCCAAACACTGATTTTCTTAAAAACACTTGTTTAAGGACTCACGTGAATTATTTAAAGAAAATTTTTTCAAGGACGTGGTTTTTAAAAAAAAACTAAAGACTCCCATACATGGATTATATAAAAATACTTTGAAAGGACTCCCATTAAAAAAATATAAAAACTCCTTTGTTTAATTTTTTTATAAGGACTTTCATTTTTTAAAAATATTTTTAAAGGATTCCCATTAAAAAATAAGGACTCTAACGTGAATCAACGACTTTTAAACGTGGGTTTTGGATTTTTTTAGGAACATTTTCTTTAAGACTTCCAAACGTGGTTTTTTAAGGAATATTTTTCAGGAAATCTGACTTGGATTAAAGACTCTAAACGTGAATTTTTAAAGCATATTTTTCAAGGACATTAAGGACTTCCATGGATTGTTTTAAGAATATTTTTTTAAGGAAAAAAGACTCCCCAAACATGAATTGTTTAAGGCATATTTTTTAAGAACTCTAAAGACCTCCAAATTTGGTTGTTTTCCATTTTTTTTTTTCAAAAACCTGAGGAAACTTAGGCCTTTGATTTTTCAATTTTTTTCAAGGATCTAAGTTATTTCAAACTTGTATTTTTTAAATATTTTTTCAAGGACTAATATGGATTTTAAAGAAGTATTTCAAAAGTCCTACTTTCTTACAAACGTAGATTTAAAAGAAATAATTTCACCTTAGTACTCCCAAATGTGGAGTTTAAAAAATTTCAAAGACCTAAAGACTCACAAACTTGGACTAAAACAAAATATTTAAAGACCTAAAGACTCCCTAACATGGATTTAAAAAACAAATAATAGACCTAAAGAAACCCAAACATTGACTTCAAAAGAAAAAAAAACATCAGAAGCCCCAAAATCCCCCAAATGTGGATTTTGAATGAAAATATTTTTTAAAGGATCTAAAGACTCTCAGAAGTGGATTTTTAATTTTTTTTCTTCAAGGACCTAAGGACTCCCAAACTTGGAATTAACAAATAAAATTTTCCAGGACCTAAGGACTTCCAAATGTCGATTTTTAACATTTTTTCAAGGACCTGAGGACTACCAAACATGGATTTATTAAAGAATATTTTTTGAAGAACTCTAAGGACTCCCAAGCTCGAATATTTGAAAAATGTTTTTTAATGGACGTTGATTTTTTAAAAATTGATTTTCAAAGACCTAAGGACACTCTCATGGCTCTAAAGTGCATCAAGTGTTTTTTTAATATTTTCAAAGACCAAAATACTTCCAATCGGGGATTTTTGTCAAGGACGAGCACAACAATATTAAAAAATAATTTTTATTTCTTTTAAGGTTACATTCTAAAAGCCATAACATTTTATTGATCTTCCTAAAGTTTTTTTTTAATTCAAGCCAAAAGGTGTCATTCTTCCATTCAATTTTAATATCCCACCTACCATGATTCCAAATGGCCATTAATTCCTCCTTGGCAAAGAATAGAAGAAATCGTGCTCGCCAACCACTTTGTAAAACTTTCAATTATCACTTTTTTGTCTTCTGTTAATCAAATTCTTTTGACTTTATTAAATTCAAATTTAATGGGAATTGTTTTCATTTTCTTCTGCTGTGCTTTGCCTTTGCCGTTGAGACAACGGATATTGGCAAGGAAGAAAATGGTAGGTCCTTTTTATGGCAGGCATTAGTCAGAAATGAAAAAAACAACATGAAAACGATATTGTGCACGGTGCGAACAAATCAGGGGGGCTGGATGTAATAACAATGAAAATCATTGAGGGACCAATACACCAGACACCGACGTCAGCTGCTGCAGCAGTATCATCATCGTCCTTATAGTCCTCATCATCATCCTTATGATGAGCGGCAAACAAATCCAGCAGCTGATGAAGCAACAGCTTGGCATGTCTGAAGTAGGCAACTTCCTTTTTTCTCTCCCCTCCTCTCTCTCTCTCTCTCTCTCTCTCTTTGTTCCTTTTTATTCTCCAGTATGAATACCTTTAATGGAATACATGTTCACAATATGATGAACAACAACAACACCAATATAGTGTAAACAATAAAAAATGTAAAAGGAACACAATTTACATAAATATCCTCATCATTAACGCAACATCATCAATAATGATGGCATGGCTGACTGGCTGGCTGGATAAAGGATCTAAGGACGAATCCCAGGTATCTATACCTTAGCTCCTGGGTAGAAAGCAACGCATTAAGGCAACAGAGCGCATCTGGTGTTATTTGTTTGCCTTGTATTTTTTTTGTTTCTCCTCCAAACTCCACAAACTTTCGATATCCCCGGTGGTCCCCTTCCTAAGGAGCTGTTGTCAGACTGGGAATAAACCGAGAATCATACATTTTATCCACCTGAAGCCACAATGAAAGCAATAAAAAATCTGGAACAAAAAAAACAGCAAAATTAGGGGAAAATGTCTTTAGTCCTTAAGGAAAAGTGGAACAAAGGAGTCTTGGGAATGAATGTACATTCAATTATGGGGAGACAGACAAACACGCATACACACATACATACATATTTACAATGTAAGTAGCACCAACACAGGTGTCATGTTTGAATGAGAGGTGGGTGGTGTATCTGTGACATTTCCAACACCTAATTCACTAACAGCCGGGAAGAGGGTGGATGCGGAAACTAAAAATAGAAAAAATTATAAAAAGGAGCACAAAAATGTTTTCTACCGAGAGTAGCACACTAACAATTCCTCAATCGAAATAACATCTTGGGAAGGTCTTTATATTCCCTTAGGAGAAAAAATTAAGATATTCTTAAAATCAAAAAGATTCACAATTAGCTTTGTGACTTCTGGGATGATATTCATAAAAATTCTGGTTTCAATTCTTTTACAAACATTTACTTAAAAAACTCAAATTCGATTCTTCAAAACTATCGACAATTTATTATTTAATAACAGATCTTTATAATTAAAAAAAATGTGGTTCTAAAATATTACATTCGGCCCTTAAAAAATCTACGTTTAGTACTTGGAAAAATTCCTTATAAAGTCCAGGTATGATCTTTAAAAATATTCTTTAAAAAAATCCACGTCTGGTCCTTGAAAAAAAAATTCATTAAAAAGTCCAAGTTTGATCTTTAAAAATATACTTAAAAAATCCACGTCTGGTCATTGCAAAAATTCATTAAAAAAACACCTTTGATATTTGAAAATATACTTTAAAAAAATCCACTTCTGCTCTTTGAAAAAATTTAAAAAAAAAACTCGTTTGATCAATAAAAATGTTCTTAACGGAAATCAACGTCTGGCCCTTGAAAAAAAATTCATTAAAAAACACGTTTGGTCCTTGAAAAAGTTTTTTTTTTAAACCCTCGTTTGGTCTATGAATTTTTTTTTTAAAAAACCTCGTTTGTTCTTTGAAAAATTCTTTGAAAAATCAACGTTTGATCTTTAAAAAT